TAAGCAGCCTGTGGGCTGGATATGGTCTGCCAGGGTTAGCTCTTGGCAGGCAGCTGGTACTTTATTTATCACCATGTCCACAAGTAGAGCCGCTTTGAAGCTCCTGTTGGCTGCAGATCGCCATTCCTGACCAATGGGAGCTGCACACGGCCATACTTGTGAACACGCAGGTAACTAAAGTGCCATCGGCCTGCCAGAGGCTAACCCTGCACTATATAGAGCTGTGATAAAAATGTCTATCTAGAAAACTCTTAAGATTGTAATGGATTTTTCCATGATTTTAAACTAGTTAAATGCTGTTCATAGCTCACAGAAACGTTCTGTTACAATTCACATTGTTGCTTTAAGGCAAGGAAAGCTGATGAACTACAGACTTTTACGTGCTGACCTCTGCCAGCAAGGCTCCTGGGCCTCTCACAGATGTTTCTACTTTTCAGAGTGATGGGAACTTCATGGCTTATTTCTTCCCTCATGCTCAGGAGCATACGCTGGTACTGCTGATATCGGAAAACATGCTGCTCTCCACCATGAGAATATAGCATTATCTCCATACTGGGCCAAAACATCTTGGGTGGTGCAGAATCACAATTTGCTGGAAGCCACTAGCACTTAGTTACCAGTCAAAGCAGAGAGAGTTTACAACCCCTATCAAACATGGCACATTTTGAAATTGGCCTTATATAACTGCAAATTGGACTTTAAAAAAAAAAACCCAACCTTATATAGTCATCCCAAAAAGCGGAACTCAGATAGAGAGATGGAGACAAGAGGCAGATTTGCAGATCTGCACAAAGCTTTCCATCATGGAAATTTGAAATTGCTTTTTTTCCTGCATGAAATAAATATGAGATCGTTAGTCTTTCCCTTCCTGCTGTCATCTGGTATTCTGCATTAAAGTAAGCCAAAAGGAGATCTTCCCCATAGTCTATTTCATTTTCTAAAAATTATCCTTAAAGGCTACGTCTAAACTACACCCCTCTGTTGGCAGAGGGATGTAAATTAGATGTTTCGAAAGAGCAAATGAAGTAGAGCTTTACATATCCCGCGCTTTAGTTGCATAATCGCATCGTGGCGCTGTTTCGAACAAGCGCCACGTCAAAACTGAAACCACATTGAAAAAGCACCTTGTTGTCGAAAAAAATGCATTTAACCGCAGTTTCAGTTTCAACATGGTGCTTGTTTGAAACAGCGCCATGATGCGATTGTGCAAACGAAGCGCAGGATATTTAAATCTTCATCTGCACTTTCAATGTGTCTAATTTACATTCCTCTGCCAATATAGGGGTGTAGTTTAGACACACCCAAACAGTTTTCCCTTTGTCATCATCTAACCTTGGGCAGGTTCAATTTTCTTTTGGGCGAGTTGAAATTTCTAATGTGCAGCATCAATATTGAGGAAGTGTGTGGATGTGTACCGACAATATAAACAAAAACACAACCCACTTCCTTCAGACGAATGATGTAAGGAGTCAGAGGTAAAAAAAAAAATAGCAGAAAAGGGGGATGGGGAGGGAAAGAGAAGGGGGAAAAAAATCTTGTCAATTAGAGTGTCCGTGCTAAATGAGGCTAATAGAGTGGGCTATAAGTGCCCGATACTTAGCTTTTGATGTCATTAGAGTGTTGAATGTAGCAGCCCATCCAGGTCAGGGCTTTGGTCAAGCCTTGATTAAAGGTATCAAATTTACAAATGAAGGCAAGTTCTGCAGCTTCTTTCTCCAGCTCGTTGTTTAAATTGCTTTGTAATAGTTTTGTCACCTTTAGATCCATTAGTGAGTGCCTGGGCAAGTCGAAGTTAAAATGTTTCCCAACAGGTTTCTGTGTCATCATTTCAAATATCTGATTGGTGTCCATTTATATTTTGTCACAGAGACTGTCCGATTTGGCCAATATACATAGCAGAGACACATTGCTGACATGTGATGGCATAGAGATCACATCAAAGGATGTGCAGTTATATTAGCCTCTAATGTGGTGGCTTATGTGGTTAGGTCCTGTGATGTCACTTGTATAGATG